ACACACACACACACACACACACAAATGTTTCACAGGAAGTCACCTGACCTGGTACTTTTTCTGGTCACAATCACTTCACTCACAGAAAATCTCTCAACTTTGCATCCTCTGTTTTCTCTGAGATCTCTCACCGTTGTACAGATTCACAATGAATTCTAGTAAAAAAAGAAAACATGAATGAGTGAGCTGACATTACATCTTCATATCGCTGTGAATCTTTACAACCCACTCAGAGGAGAGTGAAGACTTCTCTTTCTCCAATGACTCCATATTGACAGATTTGATCAATCAGGGTGGAAGGTAAACTACTGGACATAAAAAACTGAAATTGTCCCAAGTGGAGGTGATTTTTCCATGTAGTGCTTTACAGTAGCTCACACTAGTTAGTCTCCCCCTTGTGGACTGATGTTTTACAGCAGATTTGTAAAAATCTACTGACCCTCCTGAACAAAGTCTGTGAAGCAGTGCATCAAAGCCTCCTCGGACCCCAAATTAACAGAACTGTGGTGGTATAATTCTTTATGATTTAATTTAATTTTTTTTGTTTCCTTTTCCTCTTCGTTTGTTCGTTTGTTCCCATGATTTTGGCTGTTGTCTTTCCTCAGGAGGTATGTACACCTGCTCTTCCCAAACACTAGCCCGTCTCTCAGCTCTCAGGTGCTTTCGGTGGTCTGCCATGCTTTCGTTCTCATCTTTTTTTTACATTCATACAGGGTTTTATTTATTTATTTTTCATTGTGTCTCCACTGACTCATTTGGATTTCAGATGTTTGTCTGTCCAGTCTGTCATTGAGCTGGTGGTGTCACCACACTCCTTTATCTCTGTGGGTGGTTGCTGAGTGGTCGCCGGGTGTGTTTGCCATACCCGTGGGCTTGGTTCTGGGAGCCGATGCTTTGTGACCACTCTACTGAGCAGTTCGTCCCTCTTTTTCTCTGTATGCTGTGGTGGTCACTCTCTTCAATCTGTTTTTTGGAAGCTGCATTACACCTTTTTTCCATGCAGCGAGCACAACAAAAGCACTTTTGCCTGTCTCTCCAAATTGATCATGAAGCCATTTACCCATTGGCCTATTGTTGTTTGTTCTCCAGTTGCATGGAAAGGGAATACTGCACCTTTTCACAAATGTGGCTCTGCTCTCCTTATCTCATGCCGTTACTCAATCTGAAGGGCAACAGTGTGGCGCTGGATCAGACTGGACCAAACTGTGGGAGAGAAGCGTGGGCAGAGGAGTGTGTCGAAGGGATTCAGGGATGATTAATATGCTCAGTAGTTTGTGCATTTTTGTTGTCAACAAAGCTATAAATTAGATTTTAGAGTCCTGACATTGGTCTAAATGTTCAAAACTGATAAAACAAATAAATCAATTTATAAGAAAAGAGAAATAAATGCAAAATCATCCTGGTGGGAAATTATTTTCCCAAAAAAATTAAAACTGGATATGACTTAAGAGAAAACCCGCTCCCTCTTATCCTCCACCTGCCCGGCCTCCCACAATTCCGTCCTGCATGGGTGACTCCCTTCACTCAGCCCCACTCCAGCCGAGCGCCGTCCCCACAGCCTCAGCAGCAGCCTGCTGGGACGCCCCACCTCATCAGACGACGGTCGCCTCTCTCTCTCAGAGCGATGACAGGAGCTGACGTGACGATAAAATCTACAAATTACAAACCCTCTGACCAACCGAATCAACCGTATAGGCCGCTGGCTCTGAGATTCTGCCACCGCCTGTGTGTTTTCTGTTTGTCTGCTTCTGTGTTGCGCAGATGAGGTGGCGAGGAGCTGTCCATCTCCGCCTGTCGATTTGAAGTGTGGCGATAGTGTCTGTAGACAATAACCAGCATAGACTGAAGTGTGCGACCTATCATACCTGATGATGATGGGGTATCATATACAGTGCCAGTGCTGTTATATGATAATACAAGTGTGTTCAATATGTGTGTAAATATTCAGCCGTAAAACCTCCTATCCTGGTAGATGGGTTTCACAAGCTTTTGTACTAACAATGGTGGTGGGATTGTCTGGTCTAGTCAAGGCTCAGGTCTTTGGTATGATTACAAAGAAATATTGTCCCCTTGCTCACCAGGAAGTTACTTTTCAAAGCCGAGACAGGAAATTCAAGTCTGAGATGCCTTTAGAGTACCTGAGCATAGCTGCAGGCGCTTAGCTTCCTGCCGCTCTCGGTTTGTTGGTATCCCATCCTCCCAGAGCGAGGCTGCCATCTGCTCCTGCCATCAGGTTTCCCCTCACAGGAAGTTCGGGTGACAAAAGGAGGTCAGAGGTCAGTCACAGATCAGTGAGCAGCCGAGTTAACCAGGGAGCTGCCACTGGGCATGAAAGAGATGTAAACTTAAAGGGTTAGTTCTCCCAAAAAAGAAAATTCACACATTATCTACTCACCACAATGCCGACAGAGGGGTGGGTGAAGTGTTTTGGAACACTTTTTGAGTTTCAGGGGTAAACAGCGTCACAGCCAAATCCAATTCAATTGAAGTAAATTATGAAAGATTCTTCAAACATATAAAAACACAAAATGCCTCCATACTGCTCCTTTGGTGACATTCAAGTGACTGTAAGCCTCGACATTCAAATTCCATTCAAAGTTCCTTTAGACTTTTATTTTCACTTGGATGACAACATACGAGCAGTATGGAGGCATTTTATGTTTTTTTATGTTGGTTTTTCTACGTTTGAAAAAGGGGTCCCCATTTACTTCAATTGTATTTGATTTGGCTGCAACGCTGATTACCCCCGAAACTCCAAAACTGTTTTGTGGACTCATACACTTCACCCACCCCTCCATCATTTTGGTGAGTAGATGATGATTGCATTTTCATGTTTTGGTGAACTATCCCTTTAACTCTAAGCAACCCCTGTCCACATTTCGTCTCGTAGCTTCATTTGGGCGGTAGTTCATTAAGTTCAGAGAGCTCATAGATCTGTATTCTGCCTCGACACACTGATTCCGCTGAGTCTGCGAACGAGGAAAAAGAAACGGGGCCACGTGAGGAGAGTTCCAGAAGCGATGAGACATTTATGGAGACGTGTAGCTTTACAACATCACAGCTGCTCCAAATAACATAAAACATGACGAAGAGAAAATGAGTAACTGTTATTAACAAAGAGCTGAAGGTGATGCACTCATGCTCAAATGCATTGGATCAGGGTAAATATCGGGATGTTCTGGGTAAAAGGAGCTTTCATCTGTCTGTCTGCCCATACATCTGTCTGCCTGTCTGCTGCTCTACCCGGTGCTTCGGTGCTTGTCTCTCTCTCTCTCTCTCTCTCTTTCTTTCTTCTTGTTGAGCCTCTTTGACGCTCACTTTCTGCTCCACAGGGGGACGAGTAAAAACCTGGAAGAGAAGGTGGTTCATCCTCACCGACAACTGTCTGTACTACTTTGAGTACACCACAGTGAGTACAGCTCAGTTCCTGAGGCCCGGGGGGCGGGGCGGGGCTGTTGTTGCCCGTGTGGATTTACATGTTTTATGTTGTGCAGGACAAAGAGCCCAGAGGAATCATCCCCCTGGAGAACCTGAGCATCCAGGAGGTGGAGGATAAGAAGCCAGTAAGTGCAGCGCTCTCTGCTGGTTTATTCTGTAATTACACACAGTAAGCGAAATGTTTCCAATATAAAGGTTAAATAAAAAATACACTTTCCCAACTTTAATCCTGTAGCTGTCTGAACTGTTTGATGACTCATCCTATGATCAGATGCATTTACAAATTTTGCATCCGATGACGTACGACACAAGCTGTTCGATTGATTGGTTTAATCCACAGAGTTGTGAAGAGAAGTCATCAACCACAAGGAGCAGGCTGTTGTCATGACACTCTGTATTGAGATGCTAGTTACTGTGGTTACCAATCAATATCCACACAATTCTCCTGTAGCTTCATCTTTTGCCAAACGCAGTTAAATATGAGGAATTAAATAGCAACCGAACACCATGGGGTCTTAGATGCACAGATCTCCTTTGCGCAAGGTTTTTATTGTCAGTGGGACTAACAAAGATAAATTAATTGAGCAAAGCATTCGTTCAGACAGGTCACAAAGTCAATCCAGTATCTAATCTGACAGTAGCAGATCTCTACGCCCGCTTCTATGCATTAAATTGGCCAATTTCATATTGTGCACTCTGTTTAAGCTGCTCTTACTCTTCCAGCAACCCACTTCGTCCTCAGCACCTCCTTTTCGTACCGGATCTGACCTCATCTGACCTGACATATGCTCTGCGCTGGGGGCAGGAGGGTCCCATCACAGAGCTATATAACTTAATATAAATCACTGCAATTATTGAATTCAAATACATTTTGACTAGAGCAGTCCTGACTGAAAAAATTATAAATAATAGTATACACTGGTCCTAGATGACGCACATCCACCAGCAAGCTTCATCAGGCACATCTCCGCCTTCCTTTGTGTTCTCAAGATGTCGACCATATTATCCAATAGTTGATGCAAAACCCAGTAAAAGTGCAAGTTTCCCTGTGCACAAGTGAGCATACGACAGAGGAGCAATCAAGCTTGCTTCCGTCCTCTCTGTGTGAGAGGCTTCACTAGTTCAGACTCTCCCCAGCACTGCCTATTTATAAAATGGCCATCCTGGGTAATTTCACAGCTGAGGGTTGTACAAACCACAGCGTTGACATTTGAAGATGACTAGAAATGAATAACACCGACTCACAAGAAGTGGCATAACAACCTGCATCCTCCCCTTTACTTCTGCAGAACTGCTTTGAGCTTTACATCCCGGACAACAAGGACCAGGTGATAAAAGCATGCAAAACCGAGGCCGACGGACGCGTCGTGGAGGGCAACCATACCTTCTACCGTATTTCTGCCCCCACTGCTGAGGAAAAAGATGCATGGATGAACAGCATCAAGTAAATGTTTTTTTCTTGTTTTGTTGTAGGTTTTCAAAGACTGAAATTGTTAGTCTCAGAAGCTCCCACAAGTTTGGGGCTTTGTTGGGATGAAAATTAATGTCTACATGTCCAGTCAGTTTAGCCTATAGTTGTTTGCATTTTGGTTATCTGACACTACAAGTTTTCCCAGTACATCAGTAGCAGTTCCTGTTTGCATTGTAACCATAGAAAATCGAAAAATGTGATTGTTTCCTGGTAATTTATTCTCAGGAATATCTTTGTTCTATGAATTGAGGTTTATTTAGGTGTTAATGTGTTTTAATTTGCACTAAATCGCTCAAAACTGAGTGGGAGGCCAGATTAAACGTCTCTCCCTCCACTCCTCCAAATAGAAAAGAAATGATTAAACCATGCTGGCTATGCAAATATTAATTTAACAATTTTATTTTAATGTTGACCTTAAATCAGAGCGAAAGATACACTTTAGAAAAATTAAAGATTAAAGATGAACCCCAATTACAGTATTCTACAGGGTGCTGCACTTTGCACGCTCGAACCAATTAATGCCTCTCACTGACATTTTCCTCTTCCTGCCTGTGCCCACAGAGCCGCAATCAGCAGGGATCCCTTCTACGAGATGTTGGCGGCCAGGAAAAAAAAGGTGTCGTCCATGAAGAGGCACTAGATCCACTCAACGCTCCCAACTTTGCACTTGACAGAGCAGGGGGTCCGGGTATCCACACGCCCTGCCTGGGCCGGTGCAGAGGCCACGGTTAAGCACCGCCTCAGACCCTTTCCAGGGGGACATCTCTAGGACACATACTCTGGCTCTGGGACTCTACTGGCCAGAAAAAAAAACAGGAAGCATGCCGGGGTTTTCTAAATAAGAGTCAAGGCCAAAGCTTCCTCTAACCTCTCGTCTGAATGTCTCTCTTTTCTCTCTGTCTCAGCTTTGTGTGCGCTCTCTGTCTCAGAAGCAGAAAGGGAATCTTGCTGCAGCGAAATCAAACAGTTCCCGCATACAACGCGTAATGTGCACAACATGCATACTCTCACCCGTAGCACACATCGTTTTAACTCAGCAGGTCTGATCGCGTGTGGCGCCCCAACCAAAATATTTCTCGCTTTATGGAAGAAAAGTTCGGACCTTTTCGGACGTGCTTTAATATGTTTGGGTGATACTTGTCTATTTTTACAGCTTTTACTGTCGATTCCATTTATTGGTTTTGTTTACTTTTGTAAAATAAAATGGTCTTGCAAGAGAAACTGCAGGGGGGTGGGATGAGGGGAGGGTTTAATTTGCCAACTGTTAGTGATTTTATATTAAAAAGAAAAGAAAAGAAAAACTTGTCTGTTTAAAAAAAAAAAAAGAAAAAAAAAAAGTTGCCACTCAGGAGATTGTTATGATGTTCTGGAACTCTCCATGTCGCCGCTGACGTGGATCCTGACAGCCATGAAAAACCTCGCCCGTGTCCCAGACTGAACTGTTTTTCAGTTTTTTGTAAATGTGAAGCATACCGCTGCAGGTGTGGGTGTCTGCTTGTCTGGGCAGGATCTCAGCGTCAGATCTGTTCATTTCCTGAAGGTCTCGGAGATGCATATCCGCGGATTAGTGTCTTTTTAAAGGGACGAGTGTCCATCACCCTGGGCCTCTTCTTGAGGTCTTAGGTTGTCTGGAAAGCAGAAATATGTCGGCCCCTTTTTTGTTTCTGCTGCCCTACATTTGTTCATGCTTTCACCTTGTCTCAAAACACAAGAACACCTTCTATTACTGTATCAATGTATTTTTTAGAAAAGTTACTTTCCTGCTGCACGGTGCCTGGAGCTCTAGATGAAATATGATGAGAAATGCTGCTGGTTAGCGACAGTAATTCACTTTTCTTTTCCCACTTGAACATTTAATCTTTTTTTCTGTTGCCTTTTCCGAGCTACAAATGACTCTCCTGGCATTTTAGCCAATCTCACGATCATTGTACAATACTGTGTGCTTCAGGTTGTTTTATGTATAAGATGATATATATGACATTATTGTTGCAGAAGCTTTAAAGCAGCATCAACATGCAGTGAAGCTAGATGCCTGGAAAGGAATGGGTTGTCCCCGTCTCAGGAAGCGCGACGTGAAACAATACAAAACTACTGCTTATATCAGGAACTGTGGTGAACCAAAAAGATAGAGGACAGATGATTTGATGGCCGTTCTAAGGCAGCAGCATGTCATCTTGTCCAATCACAAAAACTGTATCGAGGTACAATTTTGCAAGTGCAGTGTGAGTTTTGTATCGAGAAGTTGCCCCCCCCCGCTGATCATGTTCCTCGCTCCCTGCTTCTTCTGTTTCCTGGTTCCCTTCCTTTCTCTTCTCCTCTCAGCGCACTAAACCTAGAGAAATAAGGAAAATGCTAAGCAATCATAATTCTAGACAGTATTGGTTTATTTATCAAAGTTGTACATACTTAAATGTATAGTGGGTATTTTGTCTTAATTTTGTTTCTTATTAGTTTGTTGATCTATTCAGTAATGTTTGATTTGAGGTTTCCATCATCGACATTTAATCAAGCTGAAATAAAGATTTGTCACAAACAGTGTCTGGGTGTAAGTGGCTGTTATGCCACTGCAGTTCAATAAAAACTCATGATGCTCCAGTAGGTGGCAGTATGGTATCAGGACCGTAGAGGCACTGAGTTGGTACAGTCTTAATAGTACTGCAGTTAACCAGGAAGTATTACATGCAGTTTTATAGTACCCATTACTTACAGCTGAATTGTAAGTGTGTAAATCATTCACCAATATAAGATAAGATAATGCAGTTTCTGAGGAAAATTGAGTTGGTTTGCTGCCATATCAAAATCTAATCAATTAAATTCCCACAAATTCAAGTTGGTGAAAGTTCTGCAGCTCAAGAAATATTTTGTGCATTTCTACACAAAGACAACTTATACACAAAAACCTGTTTGTCGTTGTAGAGGTTTTCTGTCAAATGTGGACCATTTGCACATAAAGCATTAGTTTCACTCAGACATTCAACTTCTGTATTTAGAGAAGAAATTTATGTTATAAGAAAAACAGAGAAAACTTTAAGAACCCCTAGATGTTCTCAACAGCTCTCTACAGTCTGATGGAATATTTTTTTAAACCAAGGAAATGCAAATCGGTAAACCAGACATTCTTTAGGAACGTCTGTTAGGTAGCCAGTGTCAGCTCAGAAATACTACAAGCAGGTGCTGGTGCAAGTTACTGCATCAGCTTTATTATGACGTTAGAGTCCTTGCTGGTGGTATTGTAATGGTTCTGATGCATCTAAAATCTGAATACATATTCCAGAGCGGAAATCATTGTAAATGGTTTGTATTAATATAGCACTTTTCTAGTCGTGATGACCACTCAAAGCATTTTACAGTACAGTTTACAAATGCCAGTGGCATTAGGGAACACTCAATGCTTACAAGTGAATATGTTGGCTTTCACATGAAATAATGCCTGGAAAAGCAATCAATAGAAATGACTTTCTCTAAATGGAACGGAGCCTTTAGTAAAACATCTCTGCATCAGTGCTAGGATACAGTGTTAGTCGTCGTGTGGATTAAAATACAATACGTTTTGTAAGTATTTCAATTTACACTGATCACCGGTATTTACCACTGACATGTCATGTGAATTACATTGATTATCTCGTTATAATTGCAGTGGGGAATGTGAGACAGCAAGAGAACAGTCAAGTGCTTGAAGAGGATGGAATAGACTGAGTGATCCTGACAAGGGACACATTGTGATTGTGAGATGTTGATGAAAGCATCTTCAAAACAGCGGGTGATGTGGTGTGTTACAGTTGTTAGTTGCTAACAAATAAACCTGGTCCAGGAAAGGAAAACCAGTGGCATCAAGTGGCACCCACCCTGCAAAACAATGAACACTTGAGCACCAGAACTGCTCCATGGAGCAGAAGGAAGAAGGTGATCTAATCTGATGAATCATGTTTTCTTTAATATCACGTGGAACATGTCATGTGGGTTATGTGGTAAGAGGCAAGCCGGCGGAATCAGTCTGATGTTCTGATCAGGACACAACCTTGTGTCATAGCGATGACGTTGACACCAGTCACTTACAGTGTTGGACACGTCTTTCGTGGGTAAGGTCATCCCTACAGTGTCCATGCATCATGAACCATGCATCATGCCACACTTCAGATTGTTCAGGAGTATTTTGAGGAACATGAGGTGTTGATTCCCTGTAGAGCTCAAGCAGTATGTGTAGAAGCCACAATGGGCCCACCTCAAAGCTCATAGGACCCGAGGACACCTACAGAGCTCATGTGGAGTCCATATCTTAATGGGTCAGAGGTATTATGGCACTTAGTGCAGATATAGACTAGCAGGTTTTTTTATTCCCTCCACTAAGATGGTCATGTTTTCACACCCATTTAGTTTTTTGGGTTTTCTTTGTTTGTTTGTAAGCAAGAACAAAAACTACTGAATGGATTAACACGAAATATGGTGGATGGATGCAATTTGATTTTAGTGCAGATCAAGGAATTCTTATCACGTTCTGTTACTTGCGAGATATGGAGTTGTGATATTCCCAGAGAATAGTTAATGGATCTTAATAAAGAAAAACCTGGCATATTAGGGAAGTGATATCAATGAGTGTGTGCAAAGTGTGTTCAAATGTTCTACTTTATATTTTCTACCAAAATGTTTTCATACATTTTCTGACAGACACAAATCTGCCTTTCAGTACTCTCAGGCAGAGCTTTTACTTTAATTATGTTCAGTATAAAAAAATCTGCTTCAACTACAGACACACTTTGTAGTTATGAGGCTGCTGAGACCTCTGCGTGATGTTTAGCAGGTCGTTGTGGTAATAAAGTAAAAGCTACAGCAGTTCTGTCTTGGGATATAAAGGGTTCATTGTTTGCTCAAATTGTTAAGTTTGTCTGAGGCGTAAAAAGAGAGAAAAACAAAGATATTGCTTTCAAACACCCTTTGATCTGAAAGATGAAAATATTTTTATTTTTCATTAAAACCTATTCATGCCCTAAACCAGGGCAAAATTAATATTATGTATGATATTACCCCTGAGACCTTGCCTGTAGTGTTTTGGGAGAACGTTGGTACAAATTATGAGACAGTTTGTTCCAGATGTGCAAAATACTTTTAAATGTTTTTTAAAATACATGCATCTTTGCATTTTTGTTATTTAATGAATTGAGTTTTGCCTGAAAAAAGAAGCAGATAAGAAATTGCCTGTAATATTTTGCACCACTGCAGTAAAACAGGGTGATAGTGACATTTTTAGTTACAGTCAGGGCCAAGGAGGTGACCTTGACTGATGGGAAATGAGAGGCGTGTTGCCACTGCGAGAGGCGGGGGGGGGGGTGAGAAAAAAAGTTGGTGAATATGTGGTTGTGGTGGTGAAGCAGCAGGGTTTATTTTTTATTTTTAACCATCTGCCCTGTTCTTTACTTCACATATTTCTCACTGCAGCGTGAATGCACAGGCACATGAGGAGACATTGTACTTGTAAGTCTTCTCTGTGGCATTGAGGTGCCTGTGCGTGAGAAGGGGAACGTGATATACTTCAATGAAAGGAGTGCTTTCATCAGATGTAGCCAAGAATGAGTGAGTGAAGGGGGAACAATAGGAGGAGGGTGCACATACTGTACAGACTGGAGATCCTTGGAACAAACTGTACACGGAGGGATTTTACTGAGGTCAGATGTTTCCTTTGAAAACACCATAAAATCTGGCACAGCTCCGTGTACCTGACCTCACTGCACTGACACACACTCAACCACACCGCTCAGTCATGCTGTCATGTCAGGTCTGCTCGGAGAACTCGCTCGTCTGTGGTTATGCTGATGCAGGGAGGGGAAAGGCCTGGGCCTGTTGCAGCTCTCATTGGCCGGGCAGCGGGATCCTCCGTCTCCTCCAGTAAGTGGAGACATGTGAGACCAGTCAGGCTCCAATTAGGCCCAGACTGTTTCCCAGAAGCGCTGGAGGCCTCCCCCTGCCTCCTGGCCCACCGTGGCGAGAGGCAGGGTGCACCCCACGATGTCCGGGTCTGACTGAAGCTGGCATGCGTATTGGGCTCCTTCTCTGTGCGGGCTCATGCAGGCAAAGAATGTTACACACAGACAGGCATGCACACACAAACACTGTCACGCGAACCTAAATGCAGCTTGGCATGGTTGACATTTTCCTACAAAACCAGGTCATGGCTGTGTAGAATTTCCTTTTAAAAACTGTCTCTCTTTTCAGTTTCATCTGAACAGGGTGTTGCTTTGAAGCTGATATCTAGCAGGTTAAAAGCTGTCAATCATGTGAGTCATCGTTTTTGTGTGACCGTAAAAAGAAAATGAGCTGTCAGAGCCTATTCACAAAACAGCATCTCACATAGTCATGTTTATGCAAATACAAAAGGAAAAAAAAAAAAGAAACACACAGAGACAGACTGCGTGGAGCCGTCGGCAGCTCGTACTAAGTTTTTGGTTTGGATACAACATATTGCAGTGATTTAGGTGAAGGTTCTCTTCAGGTGCTGCGCTGACAGATGTGTTGTTGCTTTACTGTAAGAATAAATCCAACTTAATGCTCTTGGCAGGAATCTCCTTCTGCTGAGGGACCCTGAACTCATCCTGGAGGCAGGGTTTCTGAGAAAGGGAGTTTAAAAGCAGCCACAACAAAGCCTCCCCCTCCCCTCAACCCCATCCACTATCTTACCTCTCGTTCCCTGCCTCACACGCACACTCGTATAAATGTGCAAACAAGGTATTTACACTATATCCCTACATCTGCTTTTGAGTCAGCGGTTGATAGTAAAGGGTTATGATAGTGATAAAGAAAAAAGTGGTAAAACTTTGGCTTGTGCTCAGGATAAGAGCATAAAATACAAGCAGGATATGATTAACTGAATCAGTTTCCATCATTTCCCCACAAACATGCAGTTGGGAAAGTTTGAAAAATGCTCACATGTGAAATATTGCAAAACATCTAATAGCAAGTGGCAGGAGCAGAAATTTAAATTAAGCTCTGTGACCCTCCTCTTAAGTTTGAGTTGAAACGATGCTGTTTGCATGTAAACTGCTCAGTAAAGAGACCTGATATAACTTATTTTTGAAAGCAATTTTCACATAAGCTTTTCCCTTCAATAACTGCGATACCTCTTTCACCTTTTGCCTGCAGATGTTGCTTACAGGTGACAAACTGATCCTGATATGAGTGTGAAGGAAAAAAAGGTCACATCTTACTGTTACAGTCCCTCCACCTGAAACTGGAGCATGCTTACATTTATGACGACAAACAATAGATGGTCAAGTAATAAAAAAAGAGCTATATTGGTTTTCACCAAGAGGAACTAACTGCAGTTGCCATCCGAGAAATGATGCAGCCACCTCAAGTCTTAAATCTTTGTTCCTGAATGAAATTAGCTCAAGGGACCGAGTCTGAGTCGAGACAGATGCTGTCTGTGTGGCACATTCATTAGATTTACTGGAAAAATAAAACTTCTGTTTTTTTCTTGCATACAATATTTTTGGTTGTGAACATGCTGATGCAGAGCTGCAGAAAAACCATGTCAACAAGACAGAGTG